CTTTAATTACGAAGATGATTTTAACTGACCCGAGCCTACACGTCCTACATGACGATCTCTCGGATAGAATCTCGTTCTCGCTCGTTACCCTAGCCGCTCGGCATTGTTAACGCGCGCATCAATCGCGCATCAGTCGTCGCATTATTAGATCCCAATTGACTAGAAATAAATATATTATATATATATATATATACTGTTGATTCATGTTTAAATCAGCGTGTTGATTCTAAACAACGCGCGCATACACACTGCAGGCTTCGTCATTAATTCATCGTTCACGAGCGATTTATCACTGTGCGCTTCGCGCAATCTCCGCCGCTGCGCTTTCGACTCCGCTTTCGGATCAGCGAGCGGGTCAGAACGTGACTTCGGTTTTACCCGAAGTTCCTTTAGTTCCGCTGAACATGGTTGAGCACGCGCGTTCATGCGGCGCAAAGCGACGCGAGGCGAGACGAAGAGCGCGTAACGAGCCGAAGGATCAAACATTTCGCACGAAGGCGATCGAGAGATCCGCGTCAAAGCGAAACGGCATACTATTGATGCCGGCGAATACTATCGACGTCGGTTAAATGTCAGCGCGTACCAAAAGCGGAAATTCGAGAGCACGTATACGGGTCGTTTCAAGCGCGCGCGGGGCGCGTAAACAGGACACCGATGCATGGCGATAACTCGCATCGCGAATGAGCGATACTCTAAATAAATGACCGACCCGAGCCTTGTCTCGTGTGTCCCGTGAAAATTCCGGTACGACTGTGGTTGAGCTTTTCGTACGGGTTTCCGGTTTCGTTTTCGAGCGGGATGAAAAGCGACGGCGATACCGAGAGAGAGAGAGAGAGAGAGAGAGAGAGAGAGAGAGAGAGAGAGAGAGAGAGAGAGGGAAAGAGCCCGCCTCTACTCTGTGCCTCTCTCTCTCTCTCTCTCTCTCCCCCCCTCTCCCTCTTTCCTTCTCTCCCATTCTCTCTGCGAGCTATCTCGCCGACGGGGCTTTTTTTCAAATAAACGACCACGCGCGAAACGACGTTAATAACTTTTAGCCTGGAAGTACCTTCGGAAAGAACTCCGGAGCAAAGTCGTGCGTCACGATTTGCGACGTTACGGAGATGACGATCATTCTTAGCGCCCTCGGTGTGCTTTTCTTTCTTATTATTTTGCAACGGTCGTGCTCCGCTATCTCCCGTATCGGCCGCTCTTCGGCCGTATCGGCGAATACCGAACTGCCGTACAGTCTGAAGCGCTTGAAAGGTCGTTCTGTTTTCAGTGATGAGCAGGTGTCAGAGCACCCCCGGCCTGGTGGAGTCGCAGGGTCGCGTGCCGCTGGAGGAGATGTGGGTATCGCCGATCGACCTCAAGTCCACCCAGGTATATTCGACGGCCCACTCGTTGTTCTCGCCGAGCCCGAGCCCCATAACGTCGCGCGGCCTGACGGGCGCCGGGGCCGTGACCGACGGGAACAACGTGCCCAGGGGTGCGGAGAGCCCGATCAGCGCGACCAGTAGCGGACCCAGCAGCGAGGATCAGACGGCCAGGGCGCCGCAGTCGGCCGCTACGCAACCATCCACCGGCAGGCAGTCCACCCACTCTGGTAAGCCCGTTTTGCTCGTTTCTCCTCGTTTGTGCCATCTCTCCTTTCCCCTCTCCTCCTCCCTGCCCCCGCTTGTATCATTGCCAAAAACGATCATGACCAGGCGCGCGCACGAACGTCGGGCGCGATGATATCGCGCGGAAATGCGCTTTCGTCCGAATTAACGGCTGATCAATCAATCTTCCGGCAGTCGGGTGCCAAGGTGTCAAGTGAAATTCGCGCACGCTCGAGTAGGGAGGCTTTCACATTGTATATCTGTCACGCTGTATATTAGTACCGTGGAAAAGGCCATTTCGCAAAGAAATGATGATGTAACCGAATGAAGAGTGAGATAAAAATCGCATGTTCGTCTTGATCCTTTCGGGGCTGACGCGAAATTTTACGAGCGATAGAGGAAACACGCGAAAAAGAGAGGCGGCTTTTTTTTCTTTTTTCTTTTTTCTTATCGAACCTTTTATCGCGCGAAAATTTATCAGACGAAGGCACATTGTTGCTCCTCTCGATGCTCCGTGGTAGTTCTCGTGGAGCGTCGAGAAGTTAATGCTCGGTGAATTATTCGACTCTAGGCGCGGATCATTATCCGCGTGGCGTATCCTACACGGGATTTTTATACGTCTACGGCTCACGGTGGTCTTTAGACACACCGTAACCTAGGCGCTATCCTAGATCACACTTAATATATCGTGGATCTATTTTCGGCCCGTGTAAGACGCGTCTCATGGTTGGATTTATTTTCGAAGTAACGTCGCTACACGCTCCCGTGTCTTTCTTATGTGACAGTATGTGATAATATTGCACGAGAGAAAGAGAGAGAGAGAGAGAGAGAGAGAGAGAGAGAGAGAGAGAGAGAGAGAGAGTGTATATAAATTATTGCTGATAGCGGCTGATGCTATTCGCGCAAACTGCTGACGCACAACCATAGTTTCTTATAGACTATGAGACTTCGCGATTAAGTGAAGCGCGAGTACGAAGAGAATAGGAAGACCTTTGTAGCCTCTCGCTTTCTAGTCATCAATATTTCACGTTCATCAATATCACACGTAAAAGCTTTTTAGAAAGGCCATGTAATGTTTGAACCATAAACCAGCAATGTCATCACATTCGATTGAACGTTTCGTAATAACCACTATCCCCGCGGGTATTTTCGGAACAAAAGCCTCCACGCGGGGGAGGGGCAGAGGATGGAGTCGTCGATTGCTTGCGACGCTTTGCAAAAATTACTGCAACCGCTCGTAATGTCCCTCGCGTGTTTTGCCGTACTTACTCGCGGCGTACTTACTCATTATTCTTCCGCTATCGATTGCGTCGCCCGCGCGTCACGCTCGTTTATTCCGACAGATTTAATCACCCCGTATTTGAATAGCGAGCCTCTCTCGATAGCGCGAGTCGTCCTCTCCCTCCCACGCCCCCCCCTCCCACCTCCGCTCCCTCCGTTAATGAAGCGACAGACCGACGAACCGTAATAGCTACGTGTGTGTATTTCCGGAGGAAATTTCATCGCGCTTTTCCGTGAACGGGAACAAAACTCGACGAAACTCACTCTACACGCGACCGCGGCCGGTCGCATCGGAATGGCGCCGGATAAAAGGAAAAAAGAGGAACATATGAAAAGGGATACGATCTCTCTCTCTCTCCCTCTCTCTCTCTCTCTCTCTCTCTCTCTCTCTCTCTCTCTCTCTCTCTCTCTCTCTCTCTTTCTCTCTCTCTCTCTCTCTCTCTCTCTCTCTCTCATTGCAAATCAAATTTAACCGGAACGCGAATAAACGCAAACGGTCGCGTTTATCGGCGCTATAAAACGGCAAACGGGTAAATTCAGAAATATCGCGCGGATAATGAATGACGAGAGCGACGCTCGGCGCCACTCGTAAAATAGCGCACCGGCCATTAACCCCGATAGATACGTTAAGTAGTAACGATTTAACGCTGTTCCCAGCGACGTTTATACGTCGCCTGGGAAATAAAATCCCGCCTTCGTGCGCAGGAAACGCCATGGTAATCGTGCGCTTCCGTTTCGAGCGCGAGTATTCCGGGAGTCCCGGCTCAGTCTCTCCCGCTGCCGATTAAACCGACAGATTTTGCCGGCCGCGCGATAACAAAACCGGAAACGAATCGATTTGGTCGAATGGTGTGATTTAAGTGACAAATATAGCGCGACGCCTGATTCATGGCTGCAAAAGCGTATATATTCTCTTAAATAGCTCGCCCAAACATCGCGTCTCGCGATTCTCTCCCTTCCCCACCCCCCTTCTCTCTCTCTCTCTCTCTCTCTCTCTCTCTCTCTCTCTCTCTCTCTCTCTCTCTCTCTCTCTCTCTCTCTCTCTCTCTCTTTCTCTCTCTCTCTCTCTCTCTCTCACTCACTCACTCACTCACTCACTCACTCACTTTTTCTCTCTTCTTCTCTCTCTCTCTCGGCTTCCCCCGTGTTCTCTCTCCGTCTCTCCGTCGGACGTTGGAGTGTTAACACGAGATGTGACGCGATCCAGACGAGTCCCCAGACAATACCGGGCGCCTGAATAGCCGGGATATAGGACACACCCGGTAATTCGTAAATTAGTTAGCAGTTTGCTAATGCTAATTCATGCGTTGTACGTATCAGCACTCGAAGCTACGTGGGCAGAGGGCGGGGCTCTTATATGCGAATTCTATCACATGCGAATGCGCCTGTTGGTAGAAAGAGAAATAGTAATCGTGCTCCATTAATCAGCGCATCAACGAATCACAAAGGCTCGGGAGATTCTCATTCGAGAGTATCTCTCTCTCTCGTCTCATATTCGCCGGCATTCGCTGCTACTCGCGAAACTCGTTTGTTGCTTTACGCGCCTCTCATCCTACTTTCAGCACTCGATAATTGTGCGCACTTACCTACCCGACTTCGTGCTGAAACGCAAAGATTCATATTCGCGTCTGTCGCTGGAACGTGATCTCTTCTTCGTGTGAGAAGGCGAGGGGGCTGAACAGGAGGGACGGGGGGGGATGAATAAAGACCCGTGACCATCTCGCGAACTCACGCACTCGCACGTCTCTCCTCGTTCTCACCTCTTCACTGCCCTTTTAGATAGATTTGTATCGACTAAACATACAACAATGGAGAATTGAAAGAACACGTTGAAAAGAGCGTCGCAATGAAGACTTCTTTCCAGGCATGACCTGCAACAGCATGACGCAGCTGGTGAGCGAAGGCACGACGCCCCTGTTCAGCACGCACGAGGCACTGCTCGCGGAGATCCAGCGTCTTCGGGAGCGGCTGAAATGCCTGGAAACCGAGAACGCGGCGATGAGCGTCAAACTGAACCAGCAGCAGTGGGAAGTCGAGCACCGGCTGGCCGAAATCGAGATGCAGATCTGCGGGGCGAGCTCGACCTCCAGCGTCGAGGACAACAATGAGAGGAATCGGGAGAGCATTATTTAACGAGAAACAATGCCGCGAGAGCGCGGCAAGACCAAGATCGAGCGGATACGTCGCTACCTTGTCGAAGCCGCTGATACTAGGTAAGTTGATGAGAGACGTTTATATTTCCGTCTTTCGAATACTTTCGAGAGGTTACTTCACTCGGTACTGGATAGTGATCGTTCAATCGAGACGAGATCAATCCGTTGCCTATTAAGACAATGGAAAATACACTTTGTAGTCTGGTCACTCAATGTCAAGCGCTACTAAACAGCGCTTCTTTTAGCGTGTGATTGTATTAGCGTGCAATTTTCGCGTTTATCGCTGTTATAAGACGCGACATTGACAGTGTCCACAAGGTTTACCGTGTATTCATTAACGAACCGGCCCCGTTTGCAGGTACAACGTCGACGATCAAGAGGAACCGGACGATGCGAGGATCTTCAGCGACACAAAGTCGATCGGTAGCTTGAGCCAGCACCTCTTCGAGAGCGACGAGGACGAGCGTTACTACGGTACCTGCAACGGCTACGTCTCGCAGCCCGGCAGCAAGTCGAACCTGCTGCTGTGCAGCGAGTGCGATCAGAAGACGCGTACCTGCACCTACCGACCGCAAACACCTGGCTCCTACGGCGGCAGATACGTGGAGGAGCGGATGGACGACCGACTGCAGGAGCCAGGAACCTCTCGTGCCTACAGAAGCCCGGTGAAGCTGTCCTCTCCACGCTCCTACCACGCGGATCAGGATCGTGCAGCTCAGACGTCATCATCGCCTCGGTCGTACCACGATGTGGAACAGCCGGCTGCGCCGGTCATCACGTCACCTCGATCTTACCGAGGCCAAGAGCAGCAACGGCGCGGGTGGACCGCGAGGGACACGGACGATCGAGGTGACGTCGACAGAGGCGAGTACCTCGACCAGTTCTGGTCGGAGGATTAAGCAGATCCGTTCGCTTTGCTTAACCTGTGTTTGGATGGCTTCAGTGTTCCCGGATGGCTGACTCTCCTCGCGACTCCATCGCGTGATTCCGGTATACAAAACACCTTCGCAATCCCTCCGCACTCTTCGTCCCCTCGAATTCTATCCCGAGGAAAATTTTGTCCAGATTGGTTGAATTTTTGAGTGTCGTTGATGCAAAATGAATCTACCAAATCACGTCGTCCGATGTAGCATTTTTTTTTACTGAGCGATGCTTGCGAAAAAGAAAGGAAACAGCTTCTTCTCATTTGGTAACACCGCAAATTTGATTGCAAAGATCACACTTTTCTGTCTACCCCTGCTTCATACATCCAAAACACGTGTTCTATAGTCCTCGTCCCGCCGACGCACACACACCTTCGCTTACCACAGCATAAACTGCATCACCCTTCACCCAGCAGCGACTCCGGCCGCAGCTTGTATCTCCCCGCTGCGACGCTTCGCGCGACCTCCGCGGCGGCGGCGGTGACGGCTCGCCGTCGGGGGTCGTACTCAGAGGAAGACGACGATCATAGTGAGCCCCGCGAGGGCCAACCACCATGCTAACCCGTCGATCTGCTCACAGACCGCGACGAGAGCCCGATCTGCGAGCTCTGCCGTGGTAACGGCTACGTCGTGCACTGCGAGCACTGCGACTTCTCCAGCGAGGGCGACCTGATCTGCTTCCGGTGCCAGAGCGACGAGGGCTCGTCCAACGGTCAGATCTGCCCCCGTTGCGAGCGAGAGAGGGCCAGGGTCGCAGGGGCGGCCGCCTCCGCGGCAGGCAGGTCCGGCTCGGTAACGGGCGCCACATCCTCCAGCGACGAGGGCAAGTACCCGGTGGACGCGGTGGTGAAGATCCAGGTGAACGACCGGTCGATCGACGTCGACTCCGATGAGACCCCCGAGAGTGAAAGCTCGAGCAACCATCATCCCCAGAGGGGCGCGATGGAGAGGCTCGACACCATCGTCGAGGCGAAGGGCGACACTGCCAGCGAGAACGACGAGGAGAACGGCGGCACGAAGCTCAACGGTACCACTAGCGCCAGATATCTCAATTACATGATCGTGCTGTTCCTGTAAATAGACAACGTTAAGGTAGATGCGGCCGGGCCGCGGCTCGCGGATTGTTGTCAGGCACCGAGGCTGGAATTGAATTATCGGACGACATGGTGCTCGTGAATTCTATCGAATTGTCGTTACACGCTGGGGAATGACGCGCGAGATTGTTAGACCGATTCTCCATATAATTTCCACGGCAATCGTTCACCGTGCAGCGACATGACGTGCAGCTACGGTGCTCGTTATTCTCGGTAAAATTACCGCGTCCCTCCATATTACGAATTGTCTGATATTTAATGTCGCGTGGCCATCAACGACGTCGGGTCGTTGTTTATGAATCGATGGACACAAACACATCCGCGGCCGCGGCGCGAGCCGCACTGTAAATAAACTGCCACAGGATATAATTGATCCGTACGTTATAGGACCGTATAGGTTAATTATTAGGTAGCTCGTAATAGTTAAGACGCGAAATCGAGTGTGAGAGAAACAGAGAGAGGGAGAAAGAGAGAGAGAGAGAGAGAGAGAGAGAGAGAGAGAGAGAGACAGAGAGAGAGAGAGAGAAAGAAAGAGTATATTATGTTCGACGCGCGCAAGTGTTACCATGAGCTGAGATCCGTGACGCAACGGTCGACACGTTTCAATACGCGACTCTTGGAGTGGACTTGTGCAACGATTATAATTACTCTATCGCGCAGATTGGTGTATTAATTAAAGTCCGCTTCGTTACCGATAACGATGGCGCCAATTGTTCGCAATAAGATCGCCCGCGCACTATCGCCGACACCATTCGAGAGAACCGCGTTCCCGGATATCGAAATTGAAAATTGCGCACATTGGCAGAGAAATCCATTTTTAATAGAATCGGATACCTCGGGAAAAAAGCGCGATTGTTCGAAATTTATCAGCCGACGATCACTCGACGTTGTTCGTTAACGTTGTTCGTTAAACAATAAGTTTGACGTTTTCTTCTCAGGCTATCGGGAATTTAACGCGCAATTTGACTCGTAAAAGCCGTTACGATCATTTCGGCTGCGCAGTGATTTTTTCTTTTTTTTTTTTTTAAGCCAGACGACAACGAGCCTTGAGATCGCGAGTAATTACGATTCTTGCACAATTCCCCACTAACTCATGTTCGGGACCAACTAAAGCCATCACTTACATCACTGTTTCCGACTTCCGCTTCCACCCGTGGTCATCGTTTGTTCGTTTGGTCGTTTGGTCAACGACGATGGGTTGTAAGGCACTGCAGAACCGCAAGTAACCTACCAATTCCCGACGAAAATCGACAGCGTCGTCACCTTCGTAGACAGCGTTCCGAGACAGTCGAACCGAAGACTTCGTTCCCGCGCAATATAGTGAAGCGGAGAAAAAAAGAAAAAAGAAGGAAGGGAAGAAAAACGATGCGTTTAGAGACTATGCATGAGCGCGAGCAACAGTAGACGTCGTTGAAGGAAAACAAAAAGAGAAAGAGAGAGAGAGAGAGAGAAAAGGAAAAAGAAGATGGAAGGCGATTTCGTTCTCCTCGCACGTTTGTAACACGCGGCAGCGGTTTTTTTAATATTTATAAATCATCGAATAGCCTTTATACTAGACGTGTACATTTTTTTAACGTTCATCCCGTCTCGTTATACGCGGAACTTCCGGCTCGTCGAAAAACGAATCGAATTTGCGAGATTGACAGTGACAGGGAGGAGGAAAGCAAACGAAGAAGACTAAATTCAATTATATTGTCCACAAGAGTGACGAGTGAAGATTGAGACCGGTGTGATGTCAAGAAAAAATATATACACGATTATCGCGCTTTTCCAATTTCGCAGATAAATATACAAATTATTTTAGTGTATTCCTAGCATCGAATTTGAACTTGTGATGAAACAAACGTAGCGAATCAAGAAGTACTTAGAAGTCTTTGGGTCAAATCTTACCAAAAGTTAAATATCTTGAACAATCTTAAAAAAAATCATTGACCAGAATAATTTGGTAATTGAGAAAGTAAAAGATATACAAAATCAAAATTTTCTGACTTAAAATGTCCCAGGATAAGGGGAGGGGAGGAGGGCATTCGACCGGGATCGCATTCGAAATGACACCGGTGTCAATCTTCGGAGTCCATAGCGTTGTCAACTCGAGGAGCGAGGAGTGAAGTAACGTCATTTCGCGGGGCTAGACTCATGCCATCTGTATGATATTCACGCTGAATAATGTCTACCATGTAAGGGATTATCCTTAAGAAGTATCAGTACCCGGTAAACCGATCCCGCCGTGTCGCGAGGTCGCGGTGACTCGAGGAGCGAGAGTGAAAAGGGGCGAGTGGGACGGGGGGAGGAAAAGAGGGAAACATCGCGATGGGTAGTTCAGTTCGGAATACATGTAGTGACTAAGTGCTCTTACTACGAAAATTACAAGCCACGGAGGATCTGCTCGCAAAGACGGGGATCAAGCGTGTACGATTCGCGCGGTCTCTCGTTCGCTCGAATTACAGCGCACCTCAGCGATCGAGGGGCGACGGGGGAGGAGGGACATCGTTCTACTGCCACGTTGATTTAGAACACTTCTGTAAATTCGTTAGGATTTGTAACGTTAAGTCGATAACGTTGAGAAACACGTCTATTCCCGCGTACGCGCGATCCCGAAATGGACGACATTTGAGAGAATGCGAGTCGAGTCTCTTAGTCTCCGTCCCTCCGAAGAGATCCGACCGAGATCGTCCTTTGGACAATCACCTTCACAGAAGTTGCTCGGTGTCAAAATGAAATATATTCTATGGGCAAAAGTATGTCGCGGTAAATTAAGGATAAATTTCAAAATCTGCGGCAAAAAGAGAGAGAGAGAGAGAGAATGAGAGAAAGAAAGGGTTGCTCTCGAGTGGTTCTCAAAGCACCTGCTTGTAGTTACCGGGTGATACAGTGATAGTCACTGTCTGTTCCAAGTTTGTTCCAAGACAAGAGTTCTGTCGGCACAGCTGCTCTCGAAGACTAATATGTTCTCGAGTTTATCTAAAGTCTAGCATTCACACATGTGTGTGAACTAAGGACGGTGATACCGTAAGGGCGGAACGAGAAAGATATTCCTCAGGTTTCTCAGGTCAAACGTCTGAAATCTTCGAAACATGCCGTTTCTCTAGACACCGTGTATCTTGTGCGAAGTGAATCTCACGTGTTGGAATTTGCAACAACGATCGATCGGTCGGTGAACGATAGTCACGTGAGAGAAGATGAGAAAACGAGAGACGGAGAAGGAGAGAAAAGGTTCGCATTGTTCGTTACTGAGGGAAGAGAGTGCGTTTAATCAGCCTTACTTAGACAATTATTATATATATTAATTATTGTACTATATATAAATTTATACGCATATGGGTAGCGTGAGCGATTAGCATACGTGTGTGTGTGTGTGTGTGTGTGTGTGTGTGCGTGCGTGCGTGCGTGCGTGCATGCGTGCGTGCGTGCGTGCGTGCGTGCGTGCGTGCGTGCGTGCGTGCGTGCGTGCGTGCGTGCGTGCGTGCGTGCGTGCGTGCGTGTGTGTGTGTGTGTGTGTGTGTGTGTGTGTGTGTGTGTGTGTGTGTGTGCGCGCGCGTGTGTGCGCGCGCACGTGTGTGTGTGTGTGTGTGTATCCGGCGTATTTCAATCACGATCACCGGTATGTGCTGTGGGCAACGACTATCTACGAGCAACGTGTGATTACGCGCATATGTTGCACGCGCAATTATGCGCTCGGCAGCCAGCGTCATCTTGCGTTTAGCATCTCTCGTCTCTTATATCCTTCTAATTGTCTGAGCTTTTAACAATTTAACAATATGATAATCGGAACTCGTTATTTTGCTGGGCGCCAAGCTAGCTTTAAATATTACGTTGGTGCAAAAATAATTGCGCTTTTTACGTAGCAAATATAAAGACGCATATATCAGTTAAAAATTATATTTATTAATCAAAATAAAGATGCATTGGTCTGCACACATTTCTCGCAACGAGAAACAAGTTTATTTATTCCTACAAGATAGAATTCTGGAAAAGATAACGGTAACTAGAAAAATCGGCGCCAAACTTAAAATGATAAAAACCGCAATTATTTTTGCATCAACCTAATATGAGCCAATCTATCCCACTCGCTCATGCTATCGATTTAAATCATTCTCTTGTTAAAAAATGCTTTTATCTCGCGAAATAATCCGTCTTGCAGCTGCAACAGAGAATTACATTTAACTGAGAATGTATCGCTTCAGTTTATTCGGGCACAATGGAGAGTATCAGTGCGAAATTTTGAGACACTCGAGTAGCTGCTCGATCGCTCTTGAGTCGGTTAAGCGCGAATACCGATAACATGACGAATTTATCAAACTAATCGACACGATTTTGACATGATCATTAAGTTCCACAATTCGGAAGACATTGAATCAAGTGAGCTCCTCAGCCGGCAATAATCGCACGTTGCTCCAAGTCGTTCGTCCTAGCAAAGAGTTCGGCCAAGTGAGAACTCGGCGAATCATTAAGTTTCGTCAACATTCGAAGGCTGGACTTACTCATCACGTATACCGGAGCTCACGTGACCGATGTCGGATATATATCAACGCTCGATCACCTCCAGCGCGTAATAACATCCCCCCGCGTGGCTGTTTGCGGGACATTAATTTTATCGCGAAATTTCACGTGAGAATATCTCTCGCAATTATCGCATCCGCAGTAAGCGCACGAGACTCGTCAAGCAACGGGAAAAACAGCCAGCTTGATGATGATCGACCATGCAACATCCACCGAGTCAGTTGACCCTTCCTTTCCCTCTTCCCCTCCCCCCCTTCAAGCGTACGTCCCATCGCCTAACTGCATTCAACGATGACGCGACCTCGAATTCTGGCCATCGATTTCGACCCCGGGCTTCTAACGACGAGCCTCGCGGACGGATTAAAAGTCGATCTTCCTCTAAGGAGCGGGGTTGGATTCATATCGATCGTAAGGGAGAAAACAAATTTCGCGCGACGTTCCCGACCATTACGCGCACAGTCGCGACGCGTGTGCCGTTCGCGGAGTTTTTATAAAGCCGACTTTACAAATTTTCGCGGGAATACACGGGCGCATCACGTGCGCGGCCCGGCGATCGGATTTTCGCGTGAATCACCGCACGGGGGGAGGCGTCGGATACACAAGAGGGGAGGCTTCCGATCGTTTTGCGGATCCCGCTTGAGAAACGTACGTTTAGACACAGTGCCAAGCGCGTCTCACCTCACGGTCTTCCCCGCGTTGCGCGCGATGTGATATCAAGCGTGGCTGTATCGCTGAGCGAGAGCAAGAAATGCGTTATATAGGGAGAGAGATAAGAAGAAGGAGACGCGTCAAGACGCTTCGCGCGTTACGTGTGCCAAGAATGCATCGTGCGCGTGTCATCTCGATTTCGCGCGCGCACGCGTTCGAAGACTTCCTCGCGCACGACCCTCGCGCTATATTCGAAAACGAGCGCGATCGGTATCGCGCTCGCGTAATGTACATCGCGTTCTTCCATTTTCGACGATTTATTATATCGCATTCGCGCGCGAACTCCACGGAACGATCGGCGGGGGGAGGGGGCGGGGGAAGGCGACGCTCTTTTGCGCCAGATGTGAAACGCTGCGTCGCGACTATCGCTCTATCGTAGATTACCCAGATCATCGGCCAGGTCCATCACACGCGTGTCATCGATATCCGAGCCGCGTTTTCTACGCAAACGTTCCTCCGTTCCTCTTCCCCGCACACCACCTCTCTCCGATCGATCCTGCTGTCGTCTCTCCGCCGACAGAAGCGAGCCGCCGCGCGGAGGCTTTCGCTTTCGCTGCTCCGTTTTTGCACATGAATTAGCGCACACCGTCCTGTCCCCGAATTCGACATCCGCGTGGCACGGAGAACGCAAAACCGTACCGTACCGATGACGATTTCTACCGACCGCAAGTCGCAGTCGACAGTGGGATGCGCCATTTGCCGCGTTTGTCATTTCGCTACCTCGATCCACCTCGTCGCACGGCGCTTAGTGTTTAAACGATTTATCCGATACTATGTAAAGCGAAGCAGGGCAGGGGGAGGGCAAGAGGGAGACGAGTCTCTCGGTAAGGCTCTTAATGAATGGTTACTCAGGAATAAAGTTACAATGTAATAATAGTTGCGATATTGAATATTAACGTTTAACGAAAACGACCTTTTGTAAATATGGATATAATATAAATATAGATACGCGATTATATATATATATATATATATATAAATACACATTATGTATATGTAGATATATACGATAATACTATACATAAATATATGTATCGAGAAACTTGCGCAGGGCGATTTGCGCGGGTCGCTAGCGTGTCTCGGCATTGCCGCGCGGTGATCTCGTCGCGGCAGACAACGCGACGTGCGACAGAGAGAGAGAGAGAGAGAGAGAGAGAGAGAGAGAGAGAGAGAGAGAGAGAGAGAGAGTCACGTCGGAGATGTGCATACCCTCCGACGT